ACCCCCCGCCCCCGGCCCCCCCGCCCGGCGCTCCCCCAGCACAGCTGGAGCCCGGGAGGGGAAGCGCCCAGCCGGGGGCGCAGGCTCTGGAGGCTGCCCGGCAAACCGTGAAGCCAGTAGCGCTCGGGCTTTGGGCAGCCCCTATGCCTCCGGACCCTGCGCCCCGAAGAGTCGGGGAGGAGCAGAGCCGCCATTTTCCCGGACATGTTCGGCTTTTTGGCAATTCCCCCCGGATGGGGGTTTGACTGCCGAAAAGCCGGACATGTCCGGGAAAAAGAGGACGTATGGTAACCCTATGTTATCAAAATTGAATTTTTTTGAGAAAACACTTTGTTGAGAAATCAAAAGTCAAAATCTTTGACAAGCTCAATCTGAAAAATAGTAACAAGCCAACTGAGAGTTGCTGAATATGTATTTCCCACTTTCTCAATTACTTCTCCATCTCTTCCTGTTCTCCAGATCAAATACTGGGGCAATGGCATAAAGTTCATCTTCTCCTTCCTTTTACCATCTGCACCAGGGCTGGCTCCAGGCACCAGCCGAGGAAGCTGGTGCTTGGGGCGGCAGCTTGTAGGAGGTGGCATTCCGCCCAATCCTAGGGCGGCACGGCCGATTTTTTGTTTGTTTTTTTTTGTTCTGCTCCGGCTGCCCTGTAGGGGGCAGCGGTGCAGAGGACGGGAGCGCCCTGCAGCAAGCCCAGCAGGGCAGCCCGCGTCCTTCCCTCCCAGCCGACTGGAGCGGTGCAGAGCCCTCCCCGCTGAAGCCCTGGCCCCCACCCTTCTCTCTCTCCCCCTGCTCCCTCCCCCTCCCACCGCTAACCGGGGCACATCTGCAGTGCAGAGAGTCCCCCTGCACCCTGGATCCAGCCGCGCCGCTAGGTTTTTTTTTTTTTTTTTTTGCTTTGCTGTTCTGGCTGCCGCGGGTTTTTTTTTGCTTGGGGCGGCCAGAAAGCCAGAGCCGGCCCTGATCTGCTCCCTCTGTGTTCTCTACCCTCCCACTCTTCTTCCTCCTTTGTAACCTACTATGTTCAGCTCCCCGTCTTCTCGTCTTGCCTGACTCCTATATAATTATCTTCTCCCACTGCTCCAGTCACATTACTTAACTTCCTGAATCCCTTTGCTAACTTCTGTCTTTTACCACATCCAAATTCAAGTTCATCCCCTCTCTTTTAAAGCTCTTCCTTGAACTGTTGCACTGTACCTGTTAGAATGTAAACACTCTGATGCAGGGGCCCTTGTTTTATTCTGTGGTTAATAAAACTCTCTGTACTTACTATGCTAATGTTTATTAACTATAATTACAATAAGTATTATAATGTAATCAAGCTGCAATTATAATATTTTGTTACACAATATAAACAAATAAGTCGTTCTTTCAAAAGGTTGTTTCTTTGTATTTGAACAAGTTATTCAGTTCATTCATGCACTTGTATTATTGTAGCAAGTAAGCATTTGTAGGTCTGTGTCCCTGGAAATCTGTTATTTCTCATTATCTTTACCATCTGGCAGGCTGAAGCTATTCATGTGAACCCACTTTATATTTTGATACCAGCTACACTGTGCACTTCATTTGCATTCCTGCTTCCAGTAGCAAATCCACCCAATGCCATTGTATTTTCATATGGTCATTTGAACGTTATTGACATGGTGAGTTATTAACAAAAATTCCATAACATCCAGTGTTGCTCTCTGATAATCACACTAATGCTAATGTCTGATTTTGCCATTTTGGAAATTTTATTCAGAATTGCTTAGTTTTTCTGATACCAACTTTTGATTTTTATTATTACTCTAGGTGAAAGCTGGCTTGGGTGTTAATATCATCGGAGTTGCTGTAGTTATGCTTGCTGTCACAACATGGGCAGTGCCCCTGTTTCATCTTCGAACATATCCAAGTTGGGCACCAGATCTTTCCACTGTGAATAACACAGGGCCATAAAAACTAACTGGCAAGGTTTTTGTGGGGTTTTTTACTATTATTTGGTGAGTTAGTAGAAATGCAAAATACACCACAATAATGATAGTGATCCATGTTACTTTGAAGTCCATATTTCCCAGTCCCAGGGATTGATGATCTGCTGATCCTAATCAGGAATAATATTATCCAAATATGGACTTTGCAAACACCATCAAGCTTGAATGTGTTTCTTATCCAGGTCGTCTTATTCAGATTTTACTTGTACATGTTGTTGAGTACCATCTGTGAATGTGCACATTCTTTATGAATGACAATTTGGCCCTGTTCTTAGGGTCCTAAAAATAACAGGAGCTATCTATTTTAACATTTTAAATAATGTAGGAACATTTGCTGCTGGTCTGAAGAACACACTGTATTTTTGGTTGTTGGGTTTGTTTTTTTTCAAGTCATAAAATTTTAGATGATGATGATGATGATTACAAATGAAAGGTCAGGTTGGGGATTGTCTGAACAATCCATTCACTGCTCTGTCCATAAATCTGATCTTGTAGGAAAAGTACAATCTGTGGAGAGCTGCCTGGGTATTTATACTACCGCTTTTCTGTCAACGTTTCTCTGGCCATCTCCTCACTATCTGCAGGGAAAATCATTTAGACCCCAGTTCAGGAAAGCAATTAAGCATTTATTTAAATCTATCCCTATCCAGGACTGTACTTAAGCCAGGGGTTCTCACAACAAATTTTTTGGTGGCCTCAGAGTGTGGCCACCAACTCTTGCTGGTGGCCGCACTGACACTTTTTCCTAAAATACTTAATTAACTTTAGGAAAAACAAATAAATATGCATGTATATACATCCAGATCATTGTAATTTATTTATGTAGGATTTTTTTGCAGACTCAATGCAAATAATGCTGTGAAAAGTGATATTTGTTAATATCACTTTTCACAGCAAGTCCTGGCAAGGTAAGACCTGGACGGAGGGGCTGGGAGTGAGGCAGCAGAGGCCGGGGCAATGGATGGGGGGCTCTACCACTGCATGGTTGGAGGTTTGGCTCGGCACCTGGGGCTGGGGGTCAGCGCCCTCGCCCAGCACCCACTGGAGCCCAGGGTCATTGCCCACAGCTGCATGGCCAGGGCCAGGAATTGGCACCCAGGTCTGGGGATCAGCACCCACTGCCATGCAGCTGGGGGTTGGCACCCGGAGCCAGCACCTGCTGCTGTGTGACTGGGCTGAGGGTCAGCACCCAGAGTTGGTGCCTGGAGTTCATGCCCGCCGCTGCACAGATGGGGCTAGGAGTCAGTGTCCTGGGCCAGCACCCACTGGAGCCAGCGCTGCGCAACTGGGACTGGAGGTCGACATCCAGGGCCAGCATCTACCGGAGCCTGGGGTTGGTGTCCACTGCTGCGTGACTGGGGCTGGGGATCTGCACCCGGGACTGGTGCCTGGGGCTGGAGATCGGTGCCCATGACCAGCACCTGCCAGAACCCAGGGTCAACATACAGGAGCAGTGCCCGGGGTCAGCGGCCAGGACTGCGGGTCAGAGCACGTGGCCAGGGTTTGACTGCCAACAGGTTTGGGAATGGCACTTGGGGTCTGTGCCTGCTGCCACATGGCCAGGGCTAGGGGTTGGCATCCACAGCCAGCACCCGCCAGAGCCCAAGACCAGTGCCGGGGATAAACACCCAGGACCGGCAGCTGCTGGAGCTCAGGGTCAGCCCCTGGGGCTGGCACCCAGAGTAGGGTGAATCTGTGACTTAAGTATTTGCTTAAAGTTAAGGACATACTTTAGAGTTGTCCTGGTTAGAGATGCTCTCCTGAATTGGAGCCTATAAGAGTGAAGAATAAACTATCAGAATAATTCTCTGCTCAGGACCTGTCAAAACAATAGATGCATTCTTTAGATTAATACACAGTATACAGTCCAGGTGAGTTAAAATTCAACTCTCTTTAACAAGTTGATATCCCCTTCAGAATAGGTACAATTTTAAGCTTCCTAGACTGTATTCATGTTAGAAACATTAAAAAAAGTCCACGTGACTGAAAATGAAGTTTGCAGTTAAAGCTGTTTAGAGATCATTTACATTGTTATAATGTGTTTTGCAGATTAAGAGCTATAACATTTGCCTCTTAGTGTGTTATAGTAGTTAGTGAGTTATGTGTACCATCATCCAAGTGTTAGACAGATTCAAGTCTGCATACTTGAGATCAGGTCCACCCTCGGGGCTGCCTTACAAACAGTGTAAACCCTAGTGGGATGGGACAATAGGAGTGGTTTTCCCCCTGGGGAACCTCACAAAAATAAGATTGGTGTTTCTTCAGGCAATCCCAAGGAACAAAATTTTACAAAGATATTTTCCTGGCAAGTTTAAAGAAAGGGGGCATATTGTCTTCTGCCATGGAAAACATGAAGTAAGCAAACCTCTTGTGCCTTTGCCACAATGAATGTGACATCCTTAGTTATCCATGGTTTTCAATCCCAAAGATATCTATTGTCTTACCAAGGCAATTCCTTATTGTCTAAGAGTCACACCCAGTGTTTTAATCTTGATACAGCAGAACTGATTGAAATTGTCATCTTAAATATGGCATTGTGGCCCACCAAGTTTGTTGGTCCCAGCATGCAATACTCTATCAAATCAGAATGGAGCTCCTTGCATGCTTGGATACCTGCATTCTCTCCATCTTTATTAAAGAAAATGCTGACTGGTTACAGCCCCTTAACAGTTAATACCACTGTTTCATTATAAAACTGGTGTTTAGTTTGTACAGTAGAACTGTCAGTTAGCTTTTTTATTTAGAGGCTTTTAATGATCCCATTGACAGCATAAAAAAAAATCAAAGTAAACTAGAGACAAGTTTAAACATTTCAAGAAGGATGCACTCTTAAAAGTTATTTTTACCAACAGATTGCATTTGAAGTGAATAGTTTGCAGGAGGCAGGAGAGGGAAGTGAGAGTTGTACAGAAAATATAAACTACAGTGATTTGTTCTGTCTATTTTTGGATATTTTAAAGCATGTAGCAGGGGACACTTCCCAATGCCTCCTGACATGCATTCCTCTTACCCTACCATGTTCTGGCTCTGGCTTGAAAGGGCCTTCAAAGAGTCCATGTTCTTTATGATTAGGCTTGGAAGGGTTAGATTTTCACTGGCAAATGTCAGTAAATATTGATTTCACTGTACACACACAAACTGAAGAAAAAATATTTCCATCAATGATGATTGAAATTTACAGATAGCAAAGTAACAAAAATGCTGCTTGAGAACTTATTAGTTTGATTTAAAGATATTTACCTTGTATATTTTGTCATGTGATGTCAACAATTTGTGTGTTAATGGTTATAAAGCTTTAACTTTTTGCATCTCAACATCTACTGTCATTAATTGTCTGACCCCGCTATTTTCTGATCTCCCTATAATTTCCCGCAGGTGTGAAAATTTAAATAACTTAAATAAAAAAACCTTAAAACCCATAATTTTGAGCAATTGAAATTTTAAATTGAAAAAATAATGCTTACAAATTAACAGATTTATGTTAAAATTATAAAAAAATAAAAATCAAATTCTGCCAAACTTATTTAATATAAGGTGTTTGTCTACATGATCACTAACAATGAGGGAATATCATAGTTTGGATGATATGGAGGAGGTATTGGGTGCATTACAAAATATAGTCCTTATTTAAACTTAGAAAAATAGTAATATTTGCTATAAATTTTATATTACTGTTTTCAAAATGAAATACAATGCTGTGAGTTGATTTTTATTCTTAGCAATATTTTAATTATGATAGTACATGATAGTAGTGACAGCTAAAATGAGCACAATTTTCATTAAAAGAATGTTATCCTTTCATGAGTAAAGGAGTGGGTGGTTGAGTGAATGTGGGATTCCTGTGACTGAACCACTGTTAAACTTTGTAAAAAAAACTAAGGAAATTCCCAGACAAAACAGCTTTGTTAATGTGGAACTAAAATTGTTCAGACATAACTTTTTTGAAAAAGCTTTTAAAGAATATTTCAGTTAAAATATATCAGCGTATGTTCAATGTGCCCAGCCATTTGATGGTGTCATCATCAGCCAGGTGGAGAGCTGTTGAAATAAGTTAGTGGGCACTCATCAAGGATATGCAACATAGTCTGAAATTGATCACAGCTGCATCGTGGGTCATTAGAAAAACCCCATTTATAGAGATTGGCTGCACCGTTGCCATGTCCTTTTCAAAACCAGGTCAGAGATGACTACAGGTCATCTGCCAAGGCAGATCAAAACCTTGTGGACTGATGGTTGGGTCAATGATGAGAGAGTGATTAACAACTCTCATCACTGATAGCTCATTGAGCCAAGCACATTGCACTGTCATGTCCTGTGGTGGCATAAAGGACCATAATGGCATCTAGAAGACAGGCACGTTGGTGGGTGATTAAAGAGGTTTGCCTATAAAGGCAGGTCACTATTCTCATGGATCTTGGCCAGCAGCATGACCGAGGCCTTCTCACGGTGAATATGGGGCAGTGCTATGTTATTAAGTATCAGTAGCCATTGCAATGGAGTTGTCTGTAAAGTCCTGGTAACAATTTGCATAGCTTTGTTAAGCTTTACGTCAACCAGCCTTGTGTGAGGCAAATGACACCAGACAGGAGCATAGTTCTCTGCTATTGAATAGCAGGGGGCAAGGGCTGATGTTCTAAGCATCCAGACCAGTGGTTCTGAACCCCAGGGCTGCTTGCGGCCCAAACAGCAGACAGCTGTGGCCCATGTGACATTCTCAGGGCCATACGGGTAGTATATGTATTGTATGGACGCAGCCCACAACACAGAGAGAGCTGCATATTTGGTCCACAAAGATAAGTAGGTTGAAAACAACTGGTCCAGGTGTTCGCACTCCAAGTTGAACTGACCAACTTTCCGAGCAGGTTGTTCCAAGTGCTGACTTGGCTGCCGTCTGCCTCAAGTGGTTGTGGTACATTAATGATCAATGTCACACCAAGGTAAACTGGGTTTGGATCATGCTGCAGGCATTGGCCATTGCGGAAAACATTTAACTTGTGGCTTGCACTTGCATTATGCAGATGAAATATACTAGAAACTGTCTTGGAAAATCTTGGCTGCAGGCTAATAGTCTGCCATGAGCTTCATATCATCATGATAGTTAGTTGTCAGTTAAAATGTTTTACACTAAAACCAAAACCTCAGTAACAATGGAGAAGTATAATAGGATTATCCTAGCAATCTTGACTATGCCTCACTCTAATCTAACTCTAATCTAACATTGGGAAAAACAACTGTATAGTTTGCAGATGTAGAACTGATAATGTTAACCACAAAGTATTGGTTCTAAAGGGTTAAGAATAGAGGGGAAAATAGAAATACAAAATGTTAGGCTATACAGGTTGGGTTGATTCATCTCTGACAGGCTGCATGGGGCACCATTCCAATTGCCAGAGGAAAATGTGCTCTTTATTTGTCACTAGTGCATTAGTTATTTGAAGCTTTATCCAGAGGATGTATACGGTGTGGCAAATGGTAGAAATTATTTTGAACAATTGACCAATATGATGAATATATTAAATATTTTTAATGCTTCAAGCATAAATTAATATAAAATTAATGTGTTTTCCTTTTCCTCTAATGCAGATAAGTAGAATGTATTAGTATATAAGTAACATTTAGGATATGTAATATAATTACTATGTATTAGTGGCCCCAATCCTACACCTGAGGAATTTAGTAGGAATTTTGTTTTACTTCAAGGCGTTGGGTCAGGCCTTTGTTTTGCTATTTTTATTGATGTTCTGTATTTAGTTTATCCTTCCCTCACTTTATTTCTTGGAGGCATGTGTTCAAATTATCAGAAAATACAAATCAAATACTTCAAGGAACTTCAGCTCATCTTGCCTGCACACCCACCTAGTGCCTACCCTGAGCTGCAGTTAAGGAGCACTCAGCACAGTGGTTCAAAACGGAGAGAAGATGCAAAACCACCTTCACATTCCCTCAGTCTTTTGAGCATCCCAATGCCAAGCTGACCCTAGTGTCAACTACAACAGCCTGAAGGCTGCTGCAACTTATGCCCAATTGCCAATGGCCCCCGGATACCATTTTAACAGTTGGTGATAGCTGGAGTGCATGGTCACTCACCACACCCTTGTTTCCCTTGCACTAGTAGCCAGGAGTAGGGAGTGTAGCAAGCATTATAGCAGCTCTAGGCCACAAAAGAATTCCCCCATGTAGGGGAAATCCTTCAGTGTGCAGATCTGCCAGGTTTGGAGCTTCTTTGTGCCATTGGAGCAGCACTAAGAAGCCCCAAAGTACTGAAGCATCAGGAAACTCATAAAATATTAATGATCGTGGGAAATACCACATCAATGTTACAATAAATTATCCAACTATGCGTGTAAAGTCGACTAAATATTTAGTCTCTTTTTGACCAATATACATAGAATTGCTTTTTAGTGCTATCTTTTCCCCCACTGTTCTTGGAAGCTATTGTATGTTTTCAGTTTACCTGTGTACTGTACAATTACTGTATGACATTGCTATGCCTTCACATGCTTAAATCTTACTTGTAAAAGTAATATTTGCCAAATGTTGTACAGAGAAACCTGTGTTAAGTGCTCATTTAACAAGTCCTGGTCTGTGAAGAAAGGCAGTCTTTTGATAAAGGTGGCTGAGAATTTAAAATATTTTTATTGTCATAATATTTCAGAATCAATCAGGAAAGGACTATCATGCATAAAGCTGAAGGAAATCCCATTAGGGAATAAATTATAGGTATTTAGCAACAACAAAACCTCTGCTTAGCTTATAAAACACTTTCAGACACAAATGCTAAAATACTCACATTTTTATTGTTAGTGAAATGTAAATACTTAACAAAAACGGTTTTTAAAATATCTGTAAAGTCACTTGTAGCTGAAACGCTGATCTTTTTACTAGGCATCTTGTTGAGAGGTGAAATAAAGATGTAACACTTTTCCATCATCTGTGGTCAGGGGTTTCAGTATAAAAGGTTAAAGCAATACATATATCTACCTGAATGAAGTGCAATCTCCTGTACACTGGACACCTTGCCAGTGCCCACTAAAGTCAGGGAGAATCTTTCCAGAGTCTTCAGCAGACATTGGTTTGGGTGGCAGCCAGCTCACCTGGTCTCTTAGAAGTATCTGGATTTAGAGGGATTGTCACTTAATATAAGTAGCTTAACATACATACCCCTATACAGTCAATCCACTGGTGAACCCAAGAGACAGATTCCAGGTTAGTGAATTTCCTATTATAAGAATACAAATTTTAGATAAGGAAAAAAAGTCTATAGTAAAGTATGTGGGGTGATCGCTTAGGACAGGTGATTTTAAAACAGGTTTCAAAGTAGTTTATCACCCTGAGGAACTCTTTCTTCAGTATACAAAGCATCACCAAGGTTCATGGGTTGTTTTTTTTTCCTTCTCACAGAATATTGTAGACCATGCTATCTGACACCCACCTCCACAAGTCATAATTGTAGCTGAGACATGGGAAAACTATACGCAAAATAAATATTCCTGACACATTTAACTGAATTATAGCCCTTTGCTACTTATAACTGTTTAAATCAGCAGTAGTATCACTAAATGGAATAAATGCCCAAATGTATTGCAATACTTTCACACACGTAAAAGTGTGTGGAAAGAGTTCCTGCTCCCTAAATAAGCTGTCTGAATAATTGGCTTTTATCATCTATAACATCTTGCAAGAATCTACTTATTACTGCCATACACGTAAAGCATTTAAAAAGGTTTGATAAGCTAAAACCGGCAGTCTGAAGCTCTGTTGTCCACTAAAAATGGCAGTGATCCAGAAACAAGATTGAGACACCTTTTGTTGACATCCTTGATTGACTTGACTTTGCATAGTATTAGAAAAACCACGTGCTTGTCTCTCTTTTTTCAGGCATCACTTGCTTTGTTCGGGTGCTATTATAATACATCAAAGGAGGAGAGAATGGGTGGCATAGAAAATACCATAATTTGCACTGTTCGTACTGCACAAGCAGATGGAGCTTTGTGCTTGTTGTGAACCATTCATCCATTCCAACCAGCTGTTAACTCTTTACTGTTTGCATTGTACAATCCCAGAGCAGCAGCTATAGTTTGCACGACGTTGGCTTATGATTCCTTCCAATATTCCATGAGTAATATACTGAAAGCACTGACCCAGAAAGAGCTGGGTGGGAGACTCTCTCTGTACAGTACTGCCTTATATCCAGTACCTTTTAGTCCGAAGCAGAGCAGCCAATGTCACTACGCCTACAACTGCACTGGCCGTCACTCACAAGTCTTGTTTTACTCTTCCTTCACCATTGCTGCATTGGAGGGAAAATGTAGTGCATGATGCTGACAGAACTCTGGGAGGATCCTAATGTGACATTGGAGAAAAATAGGATTTCTCTTCATCTCAGCTATGACTGGGAGGTATGGCAGGTATCCTACTGCCTCTCCTGTTTACTGTGAAACCTCTATATACTATCTAAATCCCCTCCCAAGCCAGCATAACACAGGAGTTTGGGACAGGTGGGGTACAAGGAAGTGCAGAGTGAATCTTGGGCGGGCTACTGTGTGATCTTGTCTGCAAAGGTGAACAATGCAAGCTGCCTCACCAGAAGCTGTGCTTATACCCTTGGATGTACATAAGTGTGGAATACATTACTATAAAAGGAGTTGTGTTTCCTGACTCCAGCTGATATTTATTTTATGCCTAGAATCATGATAGCTCTTCAGATGTTATCTCAGCCAAAGGGACTGCACATTAATAAATGTCTAATCCTATTTGGAAACTACTAGGAATTTTTTACTTCAAGTGGTTAGCAGTAGCGGAAAAGTAAAAATCAATAGTACTATCCACTGCCAGATACTGTAAAGTCCTAAGAAGTATAATAGGAAAGGAAAAGCCTTGTATGTGATGGAAACAAATAAGACTAGAAACCTTCGACAAACCAATTATGGACAAAGTAATGGAAGATTTCAACTACTTAGACATAAACTCAGACATAAAACAAATCCTACTTGTTTTACATGAGTAGTCTCAATAAGCCAATTTCATCCCAGACGTAAGTCCTTTCCACCATGACACTATTCAAGATCCTAATCCATATTCTACTGAAATCTATGGCAGTCTTACAACTGACATTAATGGGAAGTGGATCAGGTCATTGTTGGATTAAGGCACAGACACTACAGAACTGTGCGTAAGGCCCTAGCTTCTGGAGTCATTTGATTACATCGGAATCTAAACTTTCATTTCAAAACAGAGTAAGTATCTAGTCCTTGTGTTTACAAAGAATAGCTTGGAAATGTGGTGTATGGCTGAGTCTGCAGACAGCCTGCAGCAATAGCTCTGGGGGTGGGGCAGTTAATAGCCCCATGCATCACAATGAAGTGTTAACTCTAATGCACATTGCTCTGGGAGTCCCTGCCACCCCAGCAAAGGGCTGTATATGTGGCAGGAGAAGAAGAGTGCAGTGGGCCCAGTCCACTCAACCAAATGAATATATCCTGCCTGCTGGGGGTAAATACTGGGGAGTCCCTGCTGCCATCCCTGAGGTGGGAAAGGGGACACCTGCTGATGCAGCTCCTGAGAGGAGGAACCCTGTTGCCACCGCTGGGAGAGAAGAAGGAGGGCTCATGCTGGTGTCCCAGCAAGTCAGGAGAGGAGAGGGACATGGAAAAAGGTGGCTCCCCACTCAGCATGCTGATTTCTGTGAATCCCCTTCTCATGCACCTAACTTTCCCCATGCATTGTACAGGGAGCTTGGGTGCCTAACTCAGGGCTGTGAACACCAGTAGGTAGCAGGGACCTTCTACTTAAGCATTGCAACACTGAGTCTAAGGGCTTATCTCCACAAACATTCAGTTAGCGGCAAGCTGGGATGGGAATATATCCTGCACTATCCTGCATGCACTAACTGTCCATGTGGCCCCTGCTGACACACATTAACAAACTGTTAATGTGCTTTGATTAGTCCCATTTCAATGAGGACTAGATCAAAGTGCATTAACAAACAGTTCATGTGCATCACCAGGGCTAAATGGACAGTTAGTCCGTGCCAAGCTACTGCAGGGTAGATTCATAACCCATCTTGCCTCAAACTAACTATTCATGTAGACAAGCCATACGTCCCCTTTGTAGATCTAGCCCTTAGAAGCTTAAGCCTAACTGAAAATCAATAGGACTGAGGCTTTGAAGTGGGAAATTAGGCTTCCAAATCAATTAGGTGCTTTTGAAAATGTGACCCTAAATCACAAGTTGGTCTCTGTATTTTTATTTACCATTCTCTTTCTATGGATTGTGGCCATATAGCTAAGCTTGTTGCTTTGCTTTGCCTGGCTTCCTTTCCTTTGGGTCATCTGCACTGGAGGAATTTTGCTGAAGTGAAAGCAAAGAGCATGCATTTACTAAGCACGGCTGTATGTTCACTTCACGCGTTTCTGCTTCAGAATGCACCTCTTTATTGTAACGTTTATCTGAGAGAGTACAGAGGACGCCCTTTGAATAGCTGAGCAGAAACTAAAAGGTAATCCACCTAAAATGCAATAACGTGGTAATTTTGTGTATTTTATTTCTGAAGAATGTCCATATTTATGCTTGCTTTGTGAGCTTTAATAGAGCTGATGAAGTGCCCACACTCTCCACGAGGCAGGCAACAGCATCTAAATTATTTAAGAGAGCATCCACAGCATTATAATGACTACTAGCCCATCGCTGGGAATAAAGGTCAGCAAATATATTAGGGTCTTTGTTCATTGCTACTGACATTTTCCAGTGCCTTCCCCACAGCTTTTTGAAAAAGAGAAACAGAGTAAAATGCAAACACTGATTTAATGACAATCTCTGCCCCAATTTCATGCTTAGAGTTGCTTACTGATAGTCAAGAATAGTTGGCTCTAAATGATAAGAATGTAATGAAGACTGGTAAACTGGAGAAAGATGGTTTTTAAATTATTTTTTTTAATTTGTCATGGCATTATCTAATCACATTATGCAATTAAAATATGTAACAATATTCAGTTAGCCATTAATACATTAAACTCCAGAAACTACTTATTGAACTATTGGCCAGCTCACACTCAAACAAATAAAAAACACCTCATATAATAAAATGGCACCAGTTGTTTGGGAAGAGAGAGAGAAGGAAACATGGGGTTCTCTTCTCTACCCTGTCACTGATTCACTGTGTAAGTCTTTAGGGAAACTCTCAGTCTGATCCTGCTGCCTCTGATGACAATGGCAAAACTCCCACTTACTTTCTTCAAAGATGATTCTGGAGAATAACAGAAAAAGTTACTAAGTATTATTAGTGTTAGAATTCATATCTTCATGTTGGTATTGGAAAAAGGAAATCCAGGAGAAAGAATTATAAATTTCTGGGATTTATAAAGCCTTTAGGCAGGTGCCTGAAACCTTAATTGCAAACATTTGTTGAAGTTAGTAACATATGTTTAATATAAATTCTTGTCTTCTGGCATAGTGCAAGTCATTAGTAGAGCTGAGCAAATAATTGATTTTGGTTCAGGGGCCAAACAGAAAATTAAAAACTATGGTCTGGTTCATTCAAATGGAAACAAATATTTTCATCTAATCAAAAAAACACACACAGAGAAAAAAATATATTTCTCAGTTGACTGAAAAAAAATTAATTGTTTTTTTTTTCAGTTCAGCCTCTTTGGGTGTTTTTCACCTTTTTTTTTTTTTTTCAGTTGTCCAACTTTGAAATTGAAATGCCATTTCAGGCCAAAAAGTCAAAGCAAAACATTTCAAAATGAAAAAATTGAAATGAAATGTTTTGAACTGGTTGAAACAAAATGTTTTGACTCTTTTGAACATTTTTCCTATTGCAACTATTTGCCAAATTCTGGAGTTTTGTCGTCCCCCCCCCCATGCATTTTTGGCAAAAAAATAAAATAAAAGCAATTTGTAGAAAAAAAAATTACCTAACTGTAGTTATT